CCCCAAAACCCCAAAACCCCAAAACCCCAAAACCCCAAAACCCCTTACAATAAATTTATGGCTGAAAAATAAAATATAAAATGGCAAGTATTCGGTCTATCATTTCATCAAGATTGTCTCATTCCATCTCAAAGGTGATTCCAGGGTTGAGAACAAAGGCGATTGTTAACCCTGAGCATCAGGCTAATTGGCATTATTCCTCCCCATCAGCTATCCAGATCTTTAATCAGAACAAGAAGGTAATATTTGAGAAATTACTGGTAGAAATCAGGTGTCCTTCCAGATTCATTAGATTCATGCCATAAAATAGCAACTGAAATCTCAGCTGATTTGATGAATGATAACAATGTGTTTGAAAAAGTGGAGTTAGCCCAATTAGGTAGGGGACCTTCAGAGAAATCTCCTTTCTTTATGAACTTCTTTTTGAAAACATCCTGAATTGAAGAAGTTATTAAGAAAACAATTGCCGAAGAAGTGTCATTTAGCACAGAACCTTCTAAAATTTTAATTGATTTTTCATCTCCAAACATTGCCAAGAATATGCACGTTGGGCATCTAAGATCTACCATTATTGGGGATAGCATTTCAAGAGTACTTGAATTCACTGGAAATGATGTTCAAAGAATTAATCACATAGGAGACTGGGGGACTCAATTTGGTATGCTAATCACACATCTCGATTCTGCGTTCCCTAATTATCTCGATGAAGTTCCCTCAATCGATGATCTCCAGTCTTTCTACCAAGAAGCTAAAAGAAAGTTTGACCAAGATCCAAAGTTCCAAGAAAGAGCAAGAAGAGCAGTTGTAAATCTCCAAAAAGGAGAGCAAAAGGAAATTTCTGCTTGGAAAGTGATCTGAAAGATCTCTAAAGTTCAATATGACAATATCTACAAAAGACTGGATATCAAGATCAAAGATGTTGGAGAATCCTTCTATAATGACATGATCCCTTCAATTATTTCAGATCTTGAGAGAAAGAAGATCATTGGTAATACCACTAGTCTAACCTTTAGTTGAAAGCGATGGATGAAAATGAATTTTTGTGAAGAATGATGAAATTCCTCTTATTATAAGAAAGTCTGATGGGGGCTATACTTATGATTCAACAGATTTAGCAGCGATAAATTATAGGTTCAACCAACTTGGAGTTGATAAGATCATATATTTAACTGATATTGGACAAAGGGATCACTTCACAAAAATCTTTAAGGCAGCTCATATGAGTGGAATTTATGATCCCAAAGTTCAGACAGCTACTCATTTAGGCCTAGGTTTGATGAGAGGAGATGATGGAGGTAAAATCAAATCTAGATCTGGGGAGAGTGTCAAATTAAATGAATTACTTGATGAAGCCACTTTTCGAGCTAAAGAAATTCTTCTGGAAAGACAGAATTTACCAAATACTCATAATGATCTTGAAAAAGTTGATATAAATGATATTGCTGAGAAGATAGCTATGAACAGTATAAAATATTTTGATTTGAAACAATCTAGAGCTTCTTCTTACAAATTCTCATATGACAGAATGCTTGATACCAAAGGTAATACTGGAGTCTACATTACTTACATGTACGCTAGAATATGCTCAATTATCAGAAGATGCTATCCAAAAGACTCAAACTTAGAAGACTCAGTTTCTAGAATAAGAGAAGAATTTCTATTGTCACCATCTTTACTAAGTTTGCAAACACCTGAAGAAATATCTCTTTGTCTTGCAATAGCTAGGTTTTATGAAAGTATTGAAGATACATTGATAGATTACCAGCTTAGCAAAATTTGAGATAATCTTTATAACATTAGTGTCAAATTTGCTGAATTTTACCAAACGAATAAAGTTTTGAATCATGAAAACCAGACCTCCCGACTGATTATCCTCCTCGCAGCGAAGCTTACAATGGAAAGACAGATGGAATTACTTGGAATGAAATCCATTGAGAATATTTAACTTGCATTTCAACCAATATGGGGTATTCTGGGGTTTTGGGGTTTTGGGGTTTTGGGG